CCAGCTGACCAGCGTGGAGGCCAAGGAGCCCTGGAGCTTCACCTACGACGCCAACGGCAACATGCTGTCGCTCACGTACTCCACCAACACGATCCCCATGAAGTACGACTCGCAGGACCGCATCGTCAAGTTCGGCGAGGGCGTCTACCGCTACGACTCCCGCGGCGCCATCGTGCAGAACGCCCGCGAGGTGACCTACCAGTACAACGCCCGCGGACTCCTCGTGCGAGCCGCCAAGTCCGGCCGCTTCAACATCAGGTACATGTACGACCACGAGAACCGCCTGGTGGCCCGCAAGGACAACTTCGGCAACGTGACCCAGTTCCTGTACACGGACCAGCGGCACCCGGACCAGGTCACGCACATCTACAGCCCTCGCGACGGAAATCTCATCAGCCTGGTCTACGACGACCGAGGACACATCATATTCGCGCAGGTAAGGCCGCATCTCGGAGGCCGCATCTCTGTCTTGTGATTGTAATACCATATATACAGTATGCTTACACCTGAAATATATACCTCTACTTATACACAAAATACACCTGAACTGTATAACTGAACATATATCCATACCCAGAGACTTGAACTGAGCGCATAACTACTGATCTAATACAAATAACATATTGATCCAATACACAAAACACACATAACTACTGATCTAATACAAATAACATATTGATCCAATACACAAAACACACATAACTACTGATCTAATACAAATAACATATTGATCCAATACACAAAACACACATAACTACTGATCTAATACAAATAACATTTTGACCCAATACACATAACTACTGACCTAATACACATAGAAACCGACCTAATACACCCACGACCTCTCTCCTTCTGCTTCCTGTAGGTTTATCGGAACAAGTACTACATCGCGACGGACGAGTGCGGAACCCCCGTGATGGTGTTTAACCAGTATGGCGAGGTCGTCCGTGAGATGATGCGCTCCCCTTACGGACACATCATGTACGACTCCAATCCTTACCTGTACTTACCTGTGGATTACTGCGGCGGATTACTCGAAACACGGACCGAACTCGTCCACATGCCCCGGGGAAGGATTTACGACCCGCTCATTGGTAGGTCTTGGTTGTCTCTCTCCTTTTTCTTCTTTCTTCATCTCTTTTGTTCCTTTTTTTGTTAGGGTTATTATTATTATTATATATATATATATATATATATATATATATATATATATATATATATCCTTTATATGTTCTTCCTAGTCTCTTTCTGTTTCTTTTTTTCTATCTCTTTTCTCTATCCCGTCTTTCTTTCTTTCCTTTCAATCTGACCTTTGATCTGTGACAGGTCAGTGGGATCTTTTCTTTCCCCTTCTCCTTTTTTCAAGTTTCCTTCCTTCTCATTTTCATCTATTTATATCTCTCTATTTATTCTAATGATTTCTCTAATCGCCATCCAAAATCTGATCCAAACTCCGCCTAAATCTTATCCAAACCCCGCCCTTTTCCTATCAAACCCCGCCCCTTTCTTATCCAAACCCCGCCCCTTTCTTATCCAAACCCCGCCCCTTTCTTATCCAAACCCCTCCTCTTTCTTATCCAAACCCCTCCCCTTTCTTATTCAAACTCCGCCCCTTTCTTATCCAAACCCCGCCCCTTTATTATCCAAACCCCGCCTCTTTCTTTTCCAAACCCCGCCCCTTTCCTATCAAACCCCGCCCCTTTATTATCCAAACCCCGCCCCTTTCTTATCCAAACCCCGCCCCTTTCCTATCCAAACCCCGCCCCTTTCTTATCCAAACCCCGCCCCCTTTCCTATCCAACCCCCTCCGCTTTATTATCCAAACCCCGCCCCTTTCCTATCCAAACCCCGCCCCTTTCTTATCCAAACCCCGCCCCTTTCCTATCCAAACCCCGCCCCTTTCTTATCCAAACCCCGCCCCTTTCCTATCCAAACCCCGCCCCTTTCTTATCCAAACCCGCCCCTTTCCTATCCAAACCCCGCCCTTTTCTTATCCAAACCCCGCCCCTTTATTATCCAAACCCGCCCCTTTCAGAGCCAAACCCCGCCCCTTTCTTATCCAAACCCCGCCCCTTTATTATCCAAACCCCGCCTCTTTCTTTTCCAAACCCGCGCCTTTCCTATCAAACCCCTCCCCTTTTCTTATCCAAACCCCTCCCCTTTCTTATCCAAACCCCGCCCCAATCTTAACCAAACCCCGCCCTTCCCCCCCTCCCCTCCCCCCACCAAAAAAAAAAAAAAAACAATAATAATAATAATAATAACAATAATAAATAAATAGATATAAAAAGAGCATCACCATCGCCTTCTCTCCCCGCAGGCCAATGGCTTTCACCGGCTTGGGAAGATGTGCCAGGCAGCGTCCTCTCTCCGGCTCGCCTCACGCTCTACCGCTTCAACGGGAACGACCCTATCAACGTGCATCTGAGGCACTGGAAGAACTACGGTAAGGCAAAGGCGACAGGTAGATAGGGAGGGAGGGAGAAAGGAAGGTGGGTGGGAGGGAGGGAGGGAGGTGAGAGGTGGGTGGGAGGGAGGGAGGAAGGGAGGGAAGGGAGGTGGGAGAGAGGGAGGGAAGGTTAGAGGGAGGGAGGGAAGGTGGGAGAGAGGGAGGGAAGGTGGGAGAGAGGGAAGGAGGTGGGTGGGAGGGAGGGAGGGAGGGAAGAAGGGAGGGAGGGAGGGGAGGTGGGAGAGAGGGAGGGAGGTGGGTGGGAGGGAAGATGGTAAGGTGAGAGGGGGGAGGGAGGGAGGGAAGGAAGGTGGGAGGGTGGGAGGGTGGGTGGGAGGGAAGGTGAAAGGGAGGTGGGTGGGAAGGAGGGAGGGAGGGAGGGAGGTAAGTAGATAAATAGATAGATAATAGATATAGAATAGGATATAACTGGGCAAACGGATAAATTACAATAGTTATGATATTTATAAGGGTGATGATGATAATGGTAATTATAATAGTAACAATAATAGTGATAATAATAATGATAACAATAAATGATAGTCATGGGGATGGTTTGATAATGATAATAATAATAGTAATCATGATAATGATAATAGTTATGATGATAATATTGATGATAATGATGATGAAGAAAATAATAACAATTATGATAATGATAATAATAGTAACAATGATAATGATAGTGATGATGATGATGATGAAGATTATGAAAATGATAATAATGACAATAATGGTTTTAAAAATATTTATAAAAAGTAAAAGTGGTTGATAATGAGCTTTTTCTTAATAACTAATGGATGGTTCAGTTTTCAGATATGTTTTCATATATGTTCTTTTTCTTGCTTTAATGGGAAATTCATCCTTTTTTGATGAGGAATAATTTTTTTTTTTCTGGGAATTTTTTTATTTTATTTCTTTTCTTTCTCTGATTTTCTTTACAGGTTGAACTAATATATTTTCTTCTCCATTTTCTTTAAAGGGGAACTAATGTATTTTCTTCATATTTTTAAAGGGAAAACCAATGTATTTTCTTTTATTTTTTTAAGAAGATAATGTATTTAATTCCCTTTATTTTAAGGGGGAACTAATGTATTTTCTTCCCTTCTTTTCCAGACCACAAGGCTTGGCTCTCTCGTCTCGGCTACAACCTGGAGAGTTTGGCTCCTCAGCTAGCGTGGGCTTACACACCTAATCCACCGTCACTGTGGGAAGCTTTTACCCACACCCCAGCCACCCCCACACGTGCGGCTGTGTCCCCTTTCTCGGAACAGGTGGGTTGGAAACAGCGCGAGTGTTTGTGTGGGGAGGTGGGGGTTTGGAGCTGTGTGTGGGGGGGTAGGAGGGGGTGGTTTGTGTGTATGTGGATGGGTGAGTAGGTGTAAGTTTTGGTGTATGTGTGTATGGGTGGTTTTGTGTGTGTGTGGGGAGGGAGGTAGGGGTGTATTATGTGGGTGTGTATGTGAGTATTGGTGTTTGGGATTTTGTGTTGGTGCTTGGGTACATATATACATACATACATGCATACATACAAACTCGATCCCTATATACAGACATAAAAAACATATACATCCATATATCCACATCCATGCATCTACACATTCACACACATACACACATACACACACACACACACACACACACACACACACACACACACACACACACACACACACACACACACACACACACACATAAACACACACACACAAACACACACACACACACACACATAAACACACCCAATCGCACACACTCACACACACACAAAGAGACACATACACACATCCGTTTCAAGCTTGCAAAACGAAACAGTATTAAGTGAAACAATCTGGTTATGTCGTTTTCTCTAAGTACCCCACATTCCCGTCCCATTTTCTATATTGGTGTGCATCCAGTGGAGGTGCAAATCAGCTTTAAGTTTATGTAGTTTCTGGTACTAGGTAGATCGGTCGATAGGGTATGTAGATTGGTAGGTGAATAGGTAAGTAAGTAAGTAGGTGGAGATAGATAAATGAGAGGTGAATATATATATATATATATATATATATATATATAGAGAGAGAGAGAGAGAGAGAGAGAGAGAGAGAGAGAGAGAGAGAGAGAGAGAGAGAGAGAGAGAGAGAGAGAAAGAGAGAAAGAAAGAAAGAAAGAAAGAAAGAAAGAAACAAGCAAACAAACATACAAATAAACAAAGAAAGAGAGAAGGAAAGAAAGGAAGAAAGAAAGAAAAAAAATGCGTTTGAGAAAGCGAAAACAAAACACAGAAATAAAAAAAATACAAAAAAAAAACTACATTATCCTTAAAAAAAAGCAAATTTTCTAACCTCCCCCCCCTCCCCCCCCCCTCCCCCACACACACAGGTTCAGGGCGTCCGGTGCGTGAGTGGCCTCGTGCTGACGCTGCAGGAAGCGGCAAGGACCACGGCGCGCCTCTCGACTCTCACCCCAACACGTCTCAGACATGACTTCTGGCCGCAGACTCACAAGGTAGATTTATTTGACTGGTTTAACTGATGACTGATAAGCTGAATAGTTTACTTCATGACTGATAAGCTGGATAGTTTACTTCATGACTGATAAACTGAATAGTTTACTTCATGACTGATAACCTGAATAGTTTACTTCATGACTGATAAGCTGAATAGTTTACTTCATGACTGATAAGCTGAATAGTTTACTTCATGACTGATAAGTTGGATAGTTTACTTCATGAATGCTAAGCTGAATAGTTTACTTCATGACTGATAAATTGATTGAACTGTGGTAGTTCACTGGTTGAACTGATAAATGGTGAATTAAATGATTTATACGTTTATTTACAATACCCACTCATAATTCACACGTCACTCAAAATTTGTCCTCAATGACTCAACTCCTACTACTCACAAAATCTACTCATACTCTGCCCTCACAAACCCTTTTGAAAACTACTCCCATCGCCCACTCATTAAATGTCTTTTTTTTCTCACACCACTCACTCACAAATTCATTCACACCAACTCTTGAACCAACTCTAACAAACTGTTAATAAAATAACAACAACAACACCTTCACCACCTCCAACAACAACAACAACAACAACAACAACAACAACAACAACAACAACAACAACAACAACAACAACAACAACACCATCCCCACCAAACACCCCCTCATCCAACCGGCTCTAACCCTCCCCCTCATTTCCTCCCTCTCTCTCTCCCCCGCCGCCGCTAGATCGAGATTGCGAGCGTCCCAGGTCCCTTCGGCGTCGGTCTTCTGGTCTCTTCGGTCGACGGTCGAGCGATGGTCACGGCCACGGACCTTGCCAACCCGATCTTCAGGGACGTTCTCACCTCCGTCTTCAATAATTCTTTGTTGTTGGACATCACCCTCACAACCCACAACACTCATGTTTTCTACTTCGTTAAGGTGAGATGGATTTTTTTGGTTTGTTTGTGTGGGTGGTTGGGTGTTTGCTTGGTTTGTTTGTTTATGCGTTTGTGTATTTATTTACCTTTTTTTTTTCTTTTGTACTTTTTGTCATTTGGTTTTCTTTTCTTTCTGTCCGTCTTCAGTTGTGTCCCTCCCCATCCCTCCTCTTTTCTCTCTCTCTCTCTCTCTCTCTCTCTCTCTCTCTCTCTCTCTCTCTCTCTCTCTCTCTCTCTCTCTCTCTCTCTCTCTCTCTCTCCTTTCTCCCCCCCCCCCCCCTTTTTCTCTCCCTCTCCCTCTCCCTCTCCCTGCCCTCTCTCTCTCTCTCTCTCTCTCTCTCTCTCTCTCTCTCTCTCTCTCTCTCTCTCTCTCTCTCTCTCTCTCTCTCTCTCTCTCTCTCTCTCTCTCTAGCCAACCGAAAAGAGTATCGTTATAATTAGGGATTTTGTTAAAAGGGGAAAGATAATGTCTAAGGGATTTCCCTTAGGTGATTAGACCTGAGGGGTACTTAAATAGGCCAATTATTCAAGACTTTTTTTTTAATGGGGGTTTCTTAATATAACGAAATGTTCTGTAAGTGGTTTCATCCTGTGGGATCTCTTAAAACCCCTTTTTGTGTGTATAAATGTTTTGTAAACGAACTTTTTATTAGTCTGTAGAGATATAGGGACGAAATGGGGGAGGAGTTAGACCTTCCTCACATTTAGGCCTTATTAACCAGGTGCATTTGAAGGGGAGTTTGTCACCGGTTTTTGTGGTGTCCGTAGGCCTAATAGTGTCGTATTTATCAAGTCTGTACGTCGCTAATTACTGAGAATTTGTACTTGTCTGTTGGAGCAGTCTTGTAGGATTTGCGCTCATGAATTTCTCTCGTCGCTCTCTCTCTCTCTCTCTCTCTCTCTCTCTCTCTCTCTCTCTCTCTCTCTCTCTCTCTCTCTCTCTCTCTCTCTCTCTCTCTCTCTCTCTCCCTCCCTCCCTCCCTCCCTCCCTCCCTCCCTCCCTCCCTCCTTCCCTCCCCACCCCCTCTCTCTCTCTCTCTCTCTCTCTCTCTCTCTCTCTCTCTCTCTCTCTCTCTCTCTCTCTCTCTCTCTCTCTCTCTCTCTCTCTCTCCCTCTCTCTCTCCTCCTTCCTTAATTTCTTGAGTGTTTGTTAGGTCATTAAGAACGTTGCTTTTTTCCATGCTTAGCCTTGACGCCGTTTTGACTTCATTCTGACTTCCCTTTGGCTCTTGACTTCATTTTCATTCCCTTTTTAACTCCTTTTTTGACTCCCTTTTTGACTTCCTTCTTGCCCATATCCGACACCCCATCCCCCCCCCCTTATTCTATCTCCCTCATACGAAGGACCGCCCTTTACAACTCAGTCTCCCCCTCCTACAGGAAAACTTCTGGAAGGCTTCGGAGGACATGACGCAGCTGAACCGACTCGGGGGCGAAGTGAACATCACGGTCCACGAGCCCTCGGCCTCCGCGCCCCTCCAGGCTGACGAGGAGAAGAACGACAACTTCGTGGACGTGAAGTTGCACAGCGCTTGGGCCGTCGTGCACATCCGCTACGGCACCACAGTCGTCCAGGAGAAGAAGAGGTTGCTCAAGCACGCCAAGAAGGTGAGGCTGGGGGGTGGCGGTGGTAGGGGTAGGAGTAGCAGTAATTGCAGTAGTTGCAGCAGTAGTTGTGGTGGTGGCGGTAGTTGTTGTGGGATAGTAGTAGTGGTATTAGGAGTAGTAGTAGTAGTAGTGATAGCAATGAAAGTCATTGTAATAGTAAGAGTAATAGTATTAGTATACGATTAATATTAGTATAATAGGAGTAGTAGCAGTGGTGGTAATGACAGTAGTAGGGGTGTACTCGTAGACGTGGGAGCGAGGAGAGTATTGAAGGCTATTAATGTTTAATAACAAAAATGGGACATCAAATAGTAATATCTAATGCCATTGATCATGTATATTAGCTGTGAATCCTATATTCCCTTTCACTCATACGAGAGAAGCTCGTTTGTAGCCCCCCCCCCCCCCCCCCTGTTTCCCCGTGTTCTAACGCCTTGTCCTCCAGGTGGCGATCCGGCGCGCGTGGTCGGAGGAGCGCGAGCGGCTGTCGTCCGGCCTCCCCGGCTCCGTCGAGTGGTCGTCGAGCGAAACCGAGGAGCTGCTCTCCCGCGGCTCCGTCAGCAGCTACACCGCCAAATACCTGTACCCGCCCGAGGAGTATCCGGCCCTGCTCGACGACCCCACGAACGTCCGCTTCTTCAGGAACACGAAGCGGACCAGACGGAACTCGAAGACGCGCCGCTCCCACCGCTGCCGCAAGTGGTGGCGCGGGCTGTGCTAGACCACGTGGGGCTCTCCCTCCGCGCCCCTCCCCTTCCCCCTGCTCCCTCCTCCCCTCGCCGCGATGGGCGCCGCGCGGGGGCGAGCGAGAGAAAGAGAGGGAGAGAGACGGAGGGAGAGAAGGGAGAGAAAGAGGGAGGGGGAGCACGTGCCACGCGAACTTTACCGCTCATTTCGTCCTAGTTTTCTCGACTCTTAAAGGGTGTTGGAGAGAGGAAGAGGAAGGCCTTCGGCAGGCGGCTCCTGGCGACGCTGTGGTGGCCAGCGAAGGATTTTTTAAAAGGAGATTCTGCCTGGATTACATTTCTTCTTAATTTTCTCTTCGGCCTAAGAGATTGAAAGAAATGCATTTGAAACTTTTTGTCAGTATATTAAAGCGATCTCTCTTTTCTCTTAGCTTGATGGACTCTTTCGACTAGAGCTCTCCAGGTGTGTTTGTGTAACTGACATGTTGTGTGATCATTTGTAAATATTAAACGAGGATTTTTTTTGCGTCGAAGAAAGATGAAATGGAGTTCCATGGTCGAATGGAATACGGCAAAGCCTAACATTCCGTGTATTGAAGTGGCTTTATTTTACGGCATTTGATGATAAACCCAAATGGCATTCTGAGGGCATAGGGCACTTTGTAACAAGTACCCCGTGCAATGTGCACCTTTCTGGCACTGCGAGACTGTACCTTGCACAAGGAGCGGACAATAAAAAGGTCGCTTTGCTTGAGTGGAAGCAGAGGGTCAGAACAACGAAATGCTATTGAAGAGGAAAAGGATGAATACATATATAGATAAAGGAATAAAGTGTAAGAAGATATTTATATGTGATAATTCACGAGTCCGTGTGATAAGAGTCACCGCCACTTTGATTATTTAATGTCTGCATTTACAAGTGATCGTCGTGTTTGTGTACATGATAAGCACATGTACAAAGTGCGTGCAGTACATCAGGAAAGGACCAGTTTATGATGTCTCTGGACCGGGAAGGTTCCAGTGCAAGATGTAGTGCACGTGCATTGGTTGCAAATTATCTACACTACAGTGGTTTGTAAGTGCGTTGGCACTGGAAGTGCCACAGGGGTCAGTCAGTGTTGGTACATTACTTCCGGCTTGTGTGCCGGTTCTTGGTGTGCTAGATATCGCACAGTCAAATTTAAAGTAGAAAAAAAGACTTATGCGGTATATCCATGTTGCATTTCACGCACTGAGTGTTGCAAGAATTGCTAAACGAATTACTAGTATTTAGGAGAGTGATTCCAGTGCACATCCTCGCCTGACGAAGGCAGGTTGGTCCCCTGTCAACCCTCACCGTAGAGAAGGAGATATCAAAGAGCTTTTCACAGTAGTACTTATGTACATACATAAATGTACGTACATATATACACACGAGCAGATACATACACACACATAAACTTATATGTATACATACATACGTACATATATACATACATCCACACATACGTACATACATGACATGCATTTTCAAATGCATATGAGTGCAGGTAAATGCGCATGCGTGAACGCGCGTCAAAACACACACACAAAACACACACACACACACACACACACACACACACACACACACACACACACACACACACACACACACACACACACACACACACACACACACACACACGCATTGAGGCACGGATTCACGTACACATTCACGCACGCACACCACACATACACACACGGAAATCGATGTATTTGTATGTTTACATGTAATTATGCATGCATATGAATGTATATATTTATGTATGCATATAAATGTATGTACGGTGTGCTGTAAGCACGTAATTATGTGTGTATATGTATGTGTGTGTGTTTGTGTGTATATGTATATGTATATGTATATGTATATGTATATATGTATATGTATATATGTATATATGTATATATGTATATGTATATGTATATGTATATGTATATGTATATGTATATGTATATGTATATATATATATATATATATATATATATATATATATATATATATATATATATGTATATATATATATACACATATATATACATATACGTATATATATGTATATGTGTATATATATTTGTATATATATACATATATATATATATATATATATATATATATATATATATATATATATATATATATATATATACATATATATACATATATATACACACAAGTATGTATGTAAATGTGTGTATATGTAAATCGTTCGCAGAAACTAGTAGGATCCCAAAATACTAGTAAATTTCAGCCGGTAAAATCCCGCCATGTGATGCACCGGTACTTTCTCTAGTGACGGGCGGTACTTCTGCCTAGTGTTTACATCACCGGTACCTCTCTATTATGGAAGGAAGCTGCGTAAGAGAAGACAGAAGATAAGAGAGACTACTGACCTTACGCGATCTCTTTATTTAAGCAGCTGGTGTCTGGAAGGAAGAAAAAGATTTTTTTTTTTTTTTTTTTTTTTTTTTTTTTTGAGAGAGAAAATTTCCAATTTGGTCTTTGGGAAAGAAAAAGAGAATTTTGAGTTTTATTTATTATTTATTTGTTTATTTATTTATTGTTAGTATTATTATTATTAATTATTATTATTATTATTATTATTATTATTATTATCATGATTATTTTACGTTTATGTGTTTGTAATATAATCAGTGAATCTGATACGAGATGCCTTTTTGGTTAATAAGAATAAGATTCGTCCGTCTCAAAAAAAAAAAAAAATGCAAATGAAAGATAAAATATGGAATCCAAAAACCCGGATTAAAAGAAAAAGAAACAGAAAAAAAAAAACAGATGAAGAAAATACCAAATTCTTGAAATAAATTAATTCTCTTTAAATACCTTCTACACTATTTGGTACGTTCGACATTATATATATATATATATACATATAATTTATGCCTTATTCGTAATTGTATCAATTCTGACTCTGTAGGCAGGGATTTTTGAGTAAAGAAGAAATTAAAAATCGCCGAACTGATTCTCACTGTTCGAGAAAAGGGTTCGAATCACGAATAAGTGGCACAAGGTGCTATTAAGTTAACATATTTTTTATAACTTCTTGAACACCTCTTTGTAAATATTGTGTAAATTATCCTAATCTCTTCCCTTTCCTCTTCTCTGTTTGTTTGTTTGTTTGTTTTTTTCTCTCTCTCTTTCTCTTCCTCTCGCTCTCTTTCTTTCTCTTTTCTTTCTCTTTTTTTCTTTCTTTTTTTCTTCTCCCCCGTCCTTCTTCTAGAATCTCTCTTCTTATACTGTTTTCTTCCACTTTCATCATTTCTTCTCTCTCCCTCCCGTTTCTCTTCCTCTCTTTCCCCATCTTCATCACCCTTTCCCTCCTCCACACTTTATATCAACCCTTATCCGTATCTCCTTCCATTCCCCTATCTTTATTTTTGCCTATCCTTCTCCCCCTCTTTCTCTCTTACCTCCCCTCCCCCCCTTCTTTCCCTCTCAGTGCCCCTTCCCCCCTCCCCCCCCTCCTACCCTCCCTCTTGCCTTGCACGAAAAGAAAGTGCTCCTTGGACCTTACTATACTAGATTTTGTATGATGCTCCGAGTTTCAGAATAACGGTATTGTCGTTGATGACAATAAAATATTTTTACTTAAGACCGCAGTGTGGTGAGGCGGCGAACTCCCCAAGTGAAATCCGTTTCCCGTGGTCGCGTGTGGACAAGTATGTGCATGTATGTATGTATATGTTCATACATATTTGTACATTTTCATATACATATTGCACATGCATGTGCATATATACATGCTTACGTATGTACATACGTACGTACGCACATACATACATATATAGATACATACATATATAGATACACACACACACACACACACACACACACACACACACACACACACACACACACACACACACACACACACACACACACACACACACACAATGTATATACGTATGTATGTAAAACGCGTAAAATTTCAGTGAACAATGACTAGAAACCAGAAACTTGTGAGAACGGGTTTCTTCTCCCAAGAAAGCACCATGGCAAACAGGACAGTTTCTTTCTTTGAGAACTTACAAGAAAAAAAATATATAACCCGTAAGTGCATATTAAGTATAAGTAAATGCTGTTGGATTTAGACCAGTTTATGAGCTAACGATTCACGTAGGGGTAGAACAGGACGGCTGATCCCATGATATACCTTCAACACCTGAAATCATATCTTTTTATGACTACGATATGAAATCCTCCTTCTTAGAAAGAATCCTGATTGTTAATTCACTGACCGACTAGGGGTTATATATATATACTTATATATAATATAGTTGCAGTCCTTAAAAACAAAAGGCTTTTCAACAATCCTCCACGCCATCTTGCCTTGCCTCACTCTGTAGCATGATCTTATAACTGCCTTCACAACTATAGTCTCTTCGCTATTATTACAAACATTTAAAAAAATATATATTAAAAAAAGTAAATAAAAAAAATCTCGACAGAGGCTAAACAAATCGAATTTTTATCACCCTCCCCCCCCTCCAAAAAAAAAAAAAAAAAAAAAAATTATCTCGAGGTACCAACTCCAGACCGAACTCATTGTGTTTAATAATAGAAACAGGTATTTGTTCTTGTGTATTTTTCTTAAAGAGATAACTTCACCATGAAGAAGTTCTTGGATGAAAATATGTAAGAAAAAAAACAAGTATATAATATAAGTTCGGCCTTGAGTTCGTCACGAATAAAAAGATAACCTCTTCATAACTTGCCTTTTTCTTATCATTAAATATTTCTTTTCCTTTCATTTAATTTCCCGGATGATCTTCTCCATTCTTTTTTTTTCCCTTTATTTCATTATCATTACTTAAAGCTACGTTTGCATGAATTGCCAAAGAATTGCCGCTTATGTCTGTCATGTCAACAGAATCTTATCTATATTTCTTGCAAAAAAGCCAAACCGATTTCTGCATTTGTTTGATGTTGTATTATGTGATCTCTGTAAATATATACCTTTAAAAAAACAACTAATATAATATGGTTTCCGAAGAAGGATGTACATATAGTCACGTGACCCACTCTGCGTACAGATTAAAATACATGTACATATTTATAGATCAGAATATCCTTTGCTGCGTATATAGACTTAAGGATTTGGCTGAGAGGCGATAGTGGAAAGTGAATGAACAGTAAAAATTGCTTCTTTAGTCAGACTGGGTTTTCTTTCGCGTAGATAACGTGACTTTTTATGTAGTGATTTAGATAAGGACAGATGGTCATAGGAAACCTTTAATCTGTTATGTGTCATATTCCCTCTTCCCCCCCTATTTTCCTTTTCCTTTTCTCTTGGTATTATTATTTTTTTTCCTTTTCTCGTCTTCGTATTTTATTCTTCTCTCTCCCTCTTCGTCTTTTCCATTTACTCTTCCCTCTCCATTTCGTCTGCTTTTTCCTCTTCTTCCTATTTTCGTTTTTCTTCTTCATTTTCTTTCTTTCTTTTCTTTCTTTCTATCTTTCTTCTCCTTCCCCTTTTCCTCCTCCTCCTCCCTCGTTCTTCGTCTTTTCTCTCTGGTTATGGTTTCTCTTTTCTTTACCATTGTTGTCTTGGGTCTTTCCTTCGCACACTTCCTTAGCCCTCTCTCCCTTCTTTTCTTACTCTTTCACGTTTCCTTTCTTCTTCCTCTTTTCCTTCTCTCTTCTTTTCCCTTCCCTAGTTTGTTTGTTTTCTATCACTATCTTCTATTTCGTTCTTCCCTCCTTCCTCCCGTCTTTTCTTTTTTCCTTCCTTTCTTTTTCCCGTTCTTCCTTCCCTTCTTCTCCTCTTCCTTTTCCCCTCTCCTTCCCTTCTCCCATCCCTTTCTCTTCTCTCTTCTTCTCTTCCCTTTCCTTTTCTTACCTTCTTCCCCTTCCCTTCTCCCATCCCTTTCTCCTCTCTCCTTTCCCCTCCCTTTCCCTTTTCCTTCCCATTCCCTTCTCCTCTTCCTTTTCCCCTCTCCTTCCTCTCTTCTTCTCCTTCCCTTCCCTTTTCCTATCCTTTTTTTCCTCTCCTCTTCTCCTTCCCTTTTTCTTCTCCCATCCTTTTCCCCTCTTCTCCTTCCCTTTTTCTTCTCCCATCCTTTTCCCCTCTTCTCCTTCCCTTTTTCTTCTCCCATCCTTTTCCCCTCTTCTCCTTCCCTTTTTCTTCTCCCATCCTTTTCCCCTCTTCTCCTCTTCTCCTTCTCCTTTCCCCTCTCCTTCCCTTCTTCTCCTCCTCCCCTCGCTCCCTTTTCCCACTCCGACGCCACCCACTCCGTCTGTACCCAGGATAAACTCAGAACCCAAATCCATTTTAAGAAAGAAAGACAAAAAAAAAAAAAAACGCATCTTCCTGTCTGCTTTTATTATTTCTGTGCGGACAAGGAGAAGGCGAGGCTGATCCACCGTAGCTCTTAAGGCTCAAGTTCCAATATCAAACAGGTGTACATCGAGCTTTATGGTTGAGAGTTGGTTAGCCTCCTCTTCCCCCTCGGACTCACGGATTTGTATGATCGATGGTCTTGGCTGTTTATAAATGAAAGTGTTTCTATCGAATAAAATGAATAATTTTGTAAGACATGTCTCTCATTTACCTATTCATAGCCGGAATTGTTCAGCTGAAGTGGATCTCCAATGACCTTTTATATATATATATATATATATATATATATATATACATATATATATATATATAAGTATACATATGTGTGTGTATGTATGCACATATATACTTATATATACACAAACATTTATACACATATATAATATATTCATATATATACATAAATACACACACACACACACACACACACACACACACACACACACACACACACACACACACAC